AATTTTTTGTCTCAAATCTCTTTATGTAATGATGTATTATTATCTATTCATTTTCAGGTTCTACTAGCGGTAGCTCAGGTGCTGTTATCATGAATGTACTGACGGGTGGATCTGGTTATATCAGTGGCGGATCAGGGTTCCGTTCTGTTGGAGGTGGTGGATCCAGAGGAGGCAGTGGAGGGACTCCTTATGGAATCAGTGGCGGATCAACTGTTTACAGCAACAGGCGCGTGATTGGGATGAGCGGTAGCGGAAGTGGTAAGATCCAGGTGGTTTTGTCCAATCTAATCAAATTTAATTTAAAAATACCATAAATAGACTTCATTTCTATGATAATTAAAAACTTTATTACACTAAATGCATATCTTTTATTTCTATTGTTTTACATTGTAGTGAATTGTTCCCCTTCTTTGATTGCTTTTATTAATACAACGTAGCGTATTGTCTTCTTTTTTGTTAATTTTGTTTAACATTGTAGCAACATGTCCTCTTTATTTGTTTTACTTTATTTTACATTGTAAAATTGTACATGACTGTCATCCATCTTGTATCAAGTATGACGATCCTCACTGTAGGCGGTGTTTATGTTAAAGGTAATCACGTGTGTAGGCGGTGTTTATGTTAAAGGTAATCACGTGTGTAGACGGTGTTTATGTTAAAGGTAATCACGTGTGAAGACGGTGTTTAAGAGGTGTTTATGTTAAAGGTAATCACGTGTGTAGACGGTGTTTATGTTAAAGGTAATCACGTGTGTAGACGGTGTTTATGTTAAAGGTAATCACGTGTGTAGACGGTGTTTATGTTAAAGGTAATCACGTGTGTAGACGGTGTTTATGTTAAAAGTAAGCACGTGTGTAGGCGGTGTTTATGTTAGAGGTAAGCACGTGTGTAGACGGTGTTTATGTTAAAGGTAATCACGTGTGTAGGCCGTGTTTATGTTAAAGGTAATCACGTGTTTAGGCGATGTTCATGTTTAAGGTAACCACGTGTGTATCCGATGCTTTTGTTAAAGGTATTACGTGTGTAATCGGTAATTATGTTAAAGGTAATCACGTGTGCAGGCGGTGCTTATGTTAAAGGTTATCAGGTGTGTATCCGATGCCTTTGTAAAAGGTATTATGTGTGTAGGCGATGTCTATATTGAACGTAATAATCTCCTGACAATATATAATAATCATCAGTCAACTTGAGGTATTTAGATAAAGACAGAAACGTTCTTCAATCTGTCAATAAAAAAGCTACAATTTGCTAAACTTAATAACAAGTTATCCAGGTTTTATGTATTTTAAATCTTTAATCCGTGTTATGTTAATTCTAATGGTGTCAACTATCGCCATTCTTATAAATATTGAAAAATTAAATCAATGGCTAGACAAATCAGTATCGATGCTCATGGATAATAACTTTACTTCCTGTCAAAAAATTGGAATGGCTTCTAGGTAATGGACTTTCTCTACATTAAATACAAAATAAAGCTTATAGAATAAACTTAGTATTCCGTTATTTGAAAGTTCAAATGACTTAATTTTATAACCGCTTATGAATGAGTTATAATAAGTTATATAAGTTATAATGAGTTATATAATATTATATACACAATAAGTCTATCTATTTGATTATTCTTAGCTTTGTAGCGAAATTAATGAACGAGCAATATAATAATTCTCCCGTGATTTATTTTTTTAGTGAAGAAAAAGAAGATGAAGACAATAAACAACAAACTTAGTGTTTCCTATAATTTAGATCTGTTTATTTTCTTAATAAATTAACATCAATTTTGTTCGTTTCTTTTTATTATTTTTCTGTTATGACTCGAGTCAATTCTGAAATTGTTTGCTTTAAATATGTTTTAGATAAACATTAATCAGATTAAACTCTAGATGGTTTACATTTGGTCACGCAGTATTTGTTATAAGCTTATTACTACGATTAATGAGTCGACTTTTTTCCCTTAAAACAATTTTAAAGTATCTAGCTGATTTTTATCGAAATTTCCATTGACAAACATTTAAAGTGTTTAGAATTAACATTGAGATTTCTTTAAGGACCCTCTCTACACAAGTGTAAATATTGTTTTGGACATTGAGAAAAATAAATAGTATAAAGGAGTTAATATTTAGAATATTTATCTAATTTTCACTATATAGTGCGTGGCATTTGCCCCCGGGAAAAAAGCTCAAAGACAAAACAGTATCAGTGAATAGAAATCAATGTTAATTACTTCAATAAAGATAATACATGTAAATAACACGTTCAGTTAATTTCTTTTGGCCTTTTAAAATGTTAAGATTACTTGAATTAATTACAAATTGAGTGTTATACTGTAAATTTCTATTTTTAAAAGTTTAGATCTAAGGGCAGATCACTTTAACTGCAGAAAAAAAATTCTAAGAATCAGAACTCTTTAGTGTGCATTGTAGAGAGGGTTCTCAAATAAAATCATCATGCTTATTTTAAAAAGTTTTATACTCGTGAATAAAAAAAATTTGTCAAGCTATTTACACAGAGTTGAGAAGTTTAGCCTAATGTGGTACGTAAACTAAATCTGCTACTTAATATTAGTCGAAATGTTTAGGCGATTGATATATATATACCTAACCTCAAGACAAATATTTTACAAAAGGCATTCCAATTACAAAGTCACCGCTCACCCATCACGACAGACTTGAAATTTGGTTTCGCTTTGAGGTTTGGTTTGCCCCACCGTGTGTTAACCTAAATCATGAACGTAGATTGTTGAAAAGGTGGGATTTCACCTCTCCCAACCTGATATGCATTTATTGCTCCTAAGTTATTTAATGTGTCTGGTAAAACATTTTGTTTTCAAAATATCGAGCAATGTTTTGATTTTGACCAGAATTTTCGTAAGATTTGTAACGAAAACATGAGTGATAGTTTTCTAAAAAGCAGTATATTGTGGGGACTACATGTACTAGCATTGAATTGTGCTTTTGATAAGTTGTGAATTTTTCAATTAATCCTATTTGCAAAGTTAAGGGTGGCGAAAGTTTCATTTCTCATAATGGCACTGGTTCTCTGGAGATGTGCAATGTGGTACAGTGAGCTTAAGATAAAAGTTTTCACACAGTCTGACACATCTGTTTTCTATTTACATATTTTACTTGAAACAAAACGTTAATGGAAATCTGAGAACCAAAATCTATAATAAACGTGATGACTTTAACTTTACAATCGTCAACTTCCCTTACTTGTACAACAATAAACCTTTATCACTTGCATACGGAGGGTATATTTCTCAGTTTATTCGATATGCAAGAGTTTGCTCTATGTATGAACAGTTTCTAAAACGAGGTAAATTATTGACAATTAAGTTGATAAACAAGAATATCAAAAGTCTCGTTTAAAGTCATTATTCATTGTTATATGTATTTTGTATTAAACATTCAGGAATACATGTAATGTAATAAATATTGCATGTAGTTGAGTGTTACATTGTAAATTTTAACCCTATAAAGGGTTTTTGTTTTATATGGTATTATTTCTTTTTTTATTGCGTTTTCCGTTGAATTCTAAAGTGAAAACACAAGTTTTACCAAAATCATAGATTTATTTCTCTTTGTTTTTCTAAAAAAATGATTTTTTTTATGAAAATCCATAAAAATATCCATATAAATATTAAAGAGCATTGTATTATGTTAACTTCTGAAAATTTCCTTGGAGGTAGGCGGGAGAACATTCATAGTTCTTCCCAAATTCATATATAAAAGCAAAATATGACAAAGATAAATAAATATATTTAGACAATACCAAATTAAAAATTCAACAATAAAAACATAAACAAACAGCACATTCTATCGATCAGGGAATATCTTCAGAGAAATTAAAACAAAATTTATGCAAAATCAACATAGTTTTCAATTACTCTTCATATTTTCATATTTTCACATAGAAACACATTGCGAACAACAATGAATAAATGAAGTCTTTGAATATACAACGATAATATAGCTCTAGATGATGAATAAAAACCTACAATAAGACAATAAATTCAAACGAAATAAACTAAATCCTTTTCATGCATATAACACTTCGAAATAAAATTATAAAATAACGTACACACTCTTCACATTCAATCTTCTAAATAAAGTATTTGAATATACATGATAATTTAGCTCTAATTTCTTGCAACATATCATTTGAACTTTAAATGTCAAGTCAGATTATTTTTACTTTCTTGATTACATAAACAAATGAAATCTAAGTTAATAGCATTCAAAAACTGTACGGCAAAATAAATAAAAGATTATTTGCAAGAATATGATTTTTACAGATAAATTTTCAATCATTGGTTACAAAATATATCTTTTTTAAAAGCGAGGGCACTTTATTTTTATAACATTTTTTAAGTCTCCTACGGTTTTGAATTCTCTTAAAAAGCATAATGATGACAGATCTGGTACTAATTCATTTTAAAAAAAACCTGCGAATACTTTACAATTCCAATCCAATATTTGCATAAAAAAGATCTATGTTGTACGTAAAACAAAGTAATATATGAAAAGGTAAAGATAATAAACGTTGATCAATCTAAAAATAAAACGACGTAAAAATATGATAAGACTCGTTGGATCTAAATAAGTACACTTAATATTAAAAAATTAACAGGGTTCCTTGAGTGTAAGAATTAAGCTACAAATTGTCGATATTTGAAATTTTTCATTTACCTAGACATTTGGTCTTACCTTAAGAGATTTCAGATTATTTTTGTTCGTGAAATGTTCTCGATTTTGTACGTATAATGAATTTTGTATGTATAATGGATTTCAGTGGATTTTATAAAGTTAATCACTGTTCGCCATCTTCGTCTATGATTTTCTTCTTTTTCATGCATGGATACATGGCGGAAATCACATTTTAAAGTACGCGTAATCAAATCAAACCGTTTTAATCTATCATGTATTAGGAATGAGTTCCTTTTTAAATGTTTCACAGCATTTCTTTCATGAAAATACGGAATCGCTAAAGAATTAAGAAGGTTCCTAATAGCGGCGTTCTCTCAGAATATGAATCATGTCAATGTCACCTTGCTCAGCGGCAATATCTATCACTGATTTACCTTTATTATCTGTAACTGCTAACAAGTCTTGATGATTTGTTGATAAATATCTACAAACATCATGATTACTATTAAGACAAGCAATATGCAATATACTTTCACCAACATTTGACAACACATTGATGTCTAATCCTTTGTTTAAAAGAAAAGAAACTATGTCTACACTCCCGCCACTGCAAGCTGAATGTAACACTGTCCATCCATTATTGTCCCTTATCTCCATTAACTCTGAGAAATGATTGACCAGATACTCACACATCTCCATTTTACCAGAGCGACAACATTGATGTAAAATTGTTTCACCATCTTCCTGTCGGGAAAAGATGTTCATTTTTTTCTCAATCAATAGTTTTACTTGTTCAACATTTCCTTCCCAGGCTGCATCATGCAACACTGTGTTACTAGATTTGTCCTTGACGTCTAATAGATGAGGATAATTCTCAACTAAGTACTCACAAATATCAAACTTCCCATTGAGACAAGCTATATGCAAGATAGTTTTACCATCATTTGACAAGGCATTGAAATCCATCCCTTTCTCTAAAAGAAAAGAAACAATTTCAACACTTCCTCCCCTGCAAGCTGAATGTAACACTGTGCACCCCTTAGTGTCCTTTATCTCCAATAAATCTGAAAAATGTTTGACTAAATACTCACACATTTCCATTTTACCAGAACGACAGCACTGATGTAAAATTGTTTCACCATCTTCCTGTAGGGAATTGATGTCTAATTTTTTCTCAATCAACAGTTTTACTATTTGAACATTGCCTCCCCAGGATGCATCATGCAACACTGAGTTAATAGATATGTCCTTGACATCTAATAGATGGGGATAATTCTCTACTAAGTACTCACAAACTTCAAACTCCCCAATGAGACAAGCTATATGCAAAATAGTTTTACCATCATTTTGCAAGGCATTGAAATCCATCCCTTTTTCTATAAGAAAAGAGACAATTTCAACACTTCCTCCTCTACAAGCTGAATGTAATACTGTCAATCCGTTTTTGTCCTTTATCTCCAATAACTCTGGAAAATGATTGACTCCCCAAGCTGCGTCATGCAACACTGTGTTACTAGATTTGTCCCTGACGTCCAATAGATGTGGGTAATTCTCAATTAAGTACTCACAAACTTCAACCTTGCCATTAAGACAGGCTATCTGCAGGATACTTTCACCATCATTTGACAAGGTATCTATGTCCATTCCATTTTCTATAAGAAAAGAAACTATTTCTAAACTTCCCCCACTGCAAGCTGAATGTAACACTGTATTTCCGTCATTGTCCCTTATTTCCAATAAATCTGAAAAAGGTTTGACCAAATATTCACACATCTCCATTTTACCCGAGCAACAACATTGATGTAAGATTGTTTCACCATATCCCTGTACAGAATAAATGTCCATCTTTTTCTCAATCAATAGCTTTACTATTTGAGCATTGCCTTCCCAGGCTGCGTCATGCAATACTGTGTTAATAGATTTGTCCTTGACCTCTAATAGATGGGGATAATCATTAACTAAGTACTCACAAACTTCAATCTTTCCATTGAGACAAGCTATATGCAAGATAGTTTTACCACCATTTGACAAAGCATTGAAATCCATCCCTTTTTCTATCAGAAGAGAAACAATTTCAGCACTTCCTCCTCTACAAGCTGAATGTAACACTGTCCATCCGTCATTGTCCCTTATCTCCAATAAATCTGGATAATGATTGACCAAATACTCACACACCTCTAATTTACAAGAACGAGAGCACTGATGTAAAATTGTTTCACCACCTCCCTGTAAGGTATTGATGTCCATCTTTTTCTCAATCAATAGTTTTACTATTTGAACATTGCCTCCCCAGGCTGCGTCATGCAACACTGTCTCACTAGACTTGTCCTTGACCTCTAATACATGGGATAATTATTAACTAAGTACTCACAAACTTCAATCTTTCCACTGAGACAGGCTATATGCAAGATAGTTTTACCATCATTTGTCAAGGAATTAATGTCTATTCCCTTTTCTATAAGAAAATACACAACTTGTACACTACCTCCACGGCAAGCTGAATGTAACACTGTCCATCCATCATTATCTATGACAGATATTAAACATGGATACCTAATTACAAGATACCTACACATATCCTCTCTACCCCCAGCACAACTCATGTGTAACACAGTCTTCCCAGTATTTGTTGTACAGTTAACATTTAATCCTTTACTTGATAGAAACTTAAAAAGATCTACGTTCCCTCCTCGAGCTGTGTAGTGGAGAGCATTTTCACCGTCATTGTCTGTAACATTCAGTAATTCTGGGTATCTTTTCAAGAGATACTCACACATATCAAAATGACCATTGCTACATGCAGCATGCAACATAGATTGACCTGAATTATCTTTTGCAGATACCATATGTTTTATGTCACTTGAAAGATGTATATTTTCATTCTGAAGGAGATGAAGCATGTATTCAAACATATCTATTTTTCCACTGAAAGCTGCCCAATACAAAAGACTTTTACCATGAACATCTGTGTGCTCCTTGAGTAATGCAGGATATTTATCAACAAGGTATTTGACCATGTCTGTCCTACCATCCTGACAAGCACAAGTAAGAACCGTGTGTCCATTGTCTTGATCTTTTTCATATGGATCACAACCATACTTTAACAGATGAATAAATGCATTTTTATCTCCAGAACTTGCTGCAGATTGTAATGCATTGGCGCCTTGGTTGTTTTTAATATGTACAAGGAATGGATATTTTGCCACAACCTGTCCAATTAATTGTGTTTGTTGCATAAGACAGATTTCCTGAAGTAAGCTATGGTTTAAACAACTCCAGATAGGATGCAAAGAATATGAAGTTTGATGAAGATTAACAAACTCGCACACACGTAGCAATAACTCTATATTCCCACTTTGTACAGCATAAAAACTAGTATGAAGATCACATTCCACACCTGATGATAAAATGAGATTTACAATGTCGGGTTGATTTTTAGAGCAAGCGGCATTAAGTGATCTGTATCTTTGTCTTTTTTCTGAATTCGGAAGTAAATATTCGACCCATTGCTTTTTCCCTGCCTTTGAAAAATGCACAATCATTGAATCCCCCTTGATATCACAATATGTTTTTAATATCGAAGTGCATTGTTCAGTTTGTAATATGTACTCATGGAAGTTTGAATCTTCCCATAATTCCAGTGATGATATGGATGAATACCCATTTACAGACCTTTCTACAATGATATTTGCAATGCGGCGGGCAACATTTTGAAATAATCTTTGTCCTATGCAAACATGTGTGGTTTTTAGCTTTTTTTTACTTGTCGTCAGTGTCAGAAGTAAGGAAGGATGACACATTTGGATCATTTTTTCAGGATCAAAATTAAAGAAGACACTGAAAAGAGATTCCTGCACTGAACTATGTGTAAATTTATAGGTATTTTCTATCGTGTCATGAGTTATTAAAAACCCTTCAAAACAATGAATATTGTCCTGAAAATCGTTGATATATGAGTTATGTAGACCTACAAATTCTAAAGAGTCGCGTTTCATCTCTAAATCAAGATGAAGGTTATCAATCAATTTGAATTCTACTTTTCCTCCTCTCAGAAGTAGATATACTAAAACAGCGATTTTTACAGTTCGATTTTTCATTAGAGTTTTGAAGTAGTCTTTCAAAAAGATCAATGTATTTGGTAAAAAGGCAGATATATTTTCCTTAAAAGTTTCATTACCACTTGCCAATTTACAACATTGTGGAAACCCTATAGCTAATGGCATTTCATAGACCTTATCGATAAGTTCTCTGTCTTCTATGTATTTAGACAATTCATATTTTTCTGATAAATGTATTATTTCTTCCTTTAGCAATGCATCTTTCTTACTTGATAGATCAACCAAGGACGACATAAAAAAAATCGTCATCGTCATTGCATTCGTTTTGTACATATTCCTGATATATATCATTTCTTAGAGCAAATATCAATCTGTTTGATTTACTATCTATCTGACTCTCAATTAACACTTTAATTGTCTCTTCTATTGCTTTAAAGTCTTTAACAGTTTCGCTGGACAAAGATATCTCTCCAAATAAATTGTCAATGAATACCACTATACCATCACCTGGTAAAATGCTTCCGTACAAATCTGTCAACCTGTAAAGCTGAAGTGGAGATTTTCCATCCTCCATCAATTCTTTCATCAACATCTTGGCGATTGTGGTTTTTCCAGTTCCAGGGTTCCCCTTGATGATGACATACCCGTTTTTGTCCAACAGTTCCTTCACTTTATCAAACGCACGGGTTTTTACAAATAGATGACCTACGACTTCATAATGTTTTTGTATCATTTGTGTCGTTGTTTCTGAAAATAGAAAGGGAAAAATTAATATCTTTAAAGTACAAGGAACAAATGTTAATAGGTTTTAAGAATCTCTTTCTTATTTATTCATAAATATATACCCTGTAGAAAAGGTGAATTGGTTATTTTGCCTGATCTTCAAGGTTTTTGAGCTTCAAATAGAAGTTTATCACTTTCTGCCGATGATAATTTTTGTTCATCGGACCCTCGCGCTCGTATTTAAACAAAATTTTACAAATAATATTAATTGAAAATTCCCACACCATGGAAATTCTGTGCTATTTTCTGTTCCTTCCCGCTCTATTTATCGTATTTTTAATCTGCTTACTCTGCAAATCAGTAAAAATATAATTGTCTCATTTTTTTCTAACCCCGCCTAAAACTGTTCCTACAAAATAGTAATAAAATTATTTTTTATCACTGGCCCGCTCTTATTTTTTTCATCGAATCAAAATAATATTTTAATTGAATTTCAACCTGGTTTTAAAAATATGTACTCCAATGAAACTTTTTCTTACATTTATTTCATTTTATTAGAGACTGCAAAGGAATTATATACTGGTATGGTTTTGCATAATCTGCAAAAGGCATTTGACACTGTAGACCATGACGTACTTTTGTAAAAAACTGAGGGAAATTCGTGTTCAATATGTTGATAGGTTTTTATCTTATTTGTCTGAAAGAAAAGTTTTTTTTACAGCAATGGAATTTCATCAGATGATGGTATTATCAAATGTGGTGTACCTCAGGGCGGCATTCTAGGCTCTTTATTTTTTTTAAATTACGTTAATGACATGGTAGCAAGTGTTGACTCAGATTGTAATCTTATTTTAAACGCTGATGACAGTGCTATTTTATTGGCATATAAAGATCAAGATTTTAAATCAGAAAAGCTTAGTAAAGTTTTAGATCAGACTTCTCAATGGCTTGTAGATGATAAATTATCATTACATTTAGGAAAACAACTGAATGAATTATGGTTCCCAAAGAAAGCTTCAAAATGATCAAAATTTCCAGGCTGTATTTAATGACCATAACTTTGAATATAAAGAAAAAGTTTATTATCTCGGAGTTGAGATAGACTAATGTTTAAGTTGAGAATGCATTTGTTGAATCGATTGTTCAGAAAATAAATATGAGACTGCGTTTTCTCAGTGATGTAGCATTGTTATTGAAAGGGGGTGGGGCAGCCAGAGAAATTTCTTACTTACCCGAGAAAGGTTGACAAGCAGAAAAAAAAAAGAAAAATTGCCCAAACTCGAAATTCCTATTTCATGGGGGGGGGGGGGGGGTGTCGGGGACGCCAACTTTTCCTGTAACGACACCAATTTTTTTTTAATCCAATACTACCTTTTCCTTATTTCCCTTTTCTGTAGCGAAACGGAGGGGGTGCAACCTGCTTTTCAATGAACCTTTTCGGCTCAACTAGGATATACGGATAAGTAGTCCCGAAAAAAATATTTTCATACGCCAAATTTGAATTAATGCACCTTGCTTTATAATTGGATTCATGCGCCAAATTCGAATTAATGCACGTTGTTAGATAATGAAAAGGAAATAAGAAGATGTTTTCCAGCAGAGGATGGGTGGACAGGTCGACAAGTTGACAGGTAGACAGGTCGATGGGTTGACAGGTCGACGGGTTGACTGACCGACGGGTAAACAGGTTGACAGGTCGACGGGTTGACAGGTCGACGGGTAAACAGATCGACAGGTCGACGGGTTGACAGGTTGACAGGTCGACAGGTCGACGGGTTGACAGGTCGAAGGGTAGACAGGTCGACGGGTTGACAGGTCGACGGGTAGACATGTCGACTGGTTGATAGGTCGACAGGTCGACGGGTAGACAGGTCGACAGGTTGACAAGTCGACAGGTCGGCGGGTTGACAGGTCGACGGGTAGACAGGTTGACAGGTTGACATGTCGACAGGTTGACAGGTTGACAGGTCGACAGGTTGACAAGTCGACGGGTAGACGGGTCGGCAGGTCGACTGGTTAACTCCTAGGTTGGATAGAGGAACAGCCCTAGTCCCTCTATGTCCGATAACTAACCCTAATCTCTCAGGTGGGTTTTTGAACTAACCCTCATCTTTCAGGTGGGTTCTGGAACTAACCCTTATCTCTCAGGTGGATTCGAGAACTAACCCTAATCTCTCAGGTGGATTCGAGAACTAACCTTAATCTCTCAAGTGGGTTTGAAACTAACCCTAATCTCTCAAGTGGGTTTGAAACTAAACCTAATCTCTCAGAGGGTTCAAGTACTAAATCTTATCTCTTAGCTGGGTTTGAATACTAACCCTTAGCTCTCAAGTGGATTTGAAAACTAACCCTGATATCTCAGATGGGTTTGAAAATTAATATGAGCTGTCAACTGTCGACCTGTCGACCTTTGTGATGACATTGTAGGTTAACCAATAAGAGGTGTCAACTGTCGACCTGTCGACCTTTGTGGTGACACTGTTGATTAGTAAGAGTTGTCAACTGTCGACCTGTCGACCCTTTTGATGTCAATGTAGGTTAACCAATAAGAGGTGTCAACTGTCACCCTGTCGACCTTTATGGTGACACTTTTGATTAGTAAGAGGTGTCAACTGTCGACCTGTCGACCCTTTTGATGTCACTGTAGGTTTAATGTGGAATTGTAAAACATTTTTTGTAAAGGGGACTTTTATGGACTATTTTTAAAAGGATTTATTTGGAGTAATAAGGCAAAATATTCCCACTATCTACTATAGAAGGAACTATTTCTTATCAAATTTTAAATTTGAAAGATGTTAATCGGTTTTATGGAACTACTTATCCGTATACCCTAGTTGAACCACATTTTCAATAGTAACAGATATATTTTGAAAAAAAGTGGGGAGGGGGCAGCCCTCCTCCCACACAACCCCTTTTCCGTTGCTACGAGCCTGTTACCGACAGGCCCGTTTTTTAGATACTTTTTGTAAAATGACTTTGTGTTCAGCATTCATACAATGTCATATTGATTACACCTGCAGTGCTTGGTATGCAGGGCTATGCAATACCTTAAAAAATACAAATTTGTCAAAACATGATGGTTGATTTGTTTTTAATTAAGGTCAACAGGCATCTATGAATTACAGTGCTGCTATCCCACAAGTTGACACTGGTGGGGATCGGATAGGATTCGGGATTGAGGGTTCCTGATTTAAACAAATAGTAGTTAATCGAACTGCATCCTATCCTGCTTCCTACTGCTAATCAGAAACTTTTCAACATTTTATTTTATTATGTTTACGTATCTACTGTCATTTTCCACTATAACTCATAGTGAATCAATTGCATTTATATTTCTATAAATGCATATTTCTATAAATGCAATTGCTATATTTGTATCCGCAACTGCATCTCAGACATTCACGTAGAATCACCTTTCCAATTATGACAGAATCTGAACTTGTTTATTTCGGTAATATTTACGAAAATATATTAAAAATGTCTCCAACTAATGCCACTTCTCTCTTCAATCAATATGACAAAGCAGCCCTTTCAAATCCTGAAAAAAAATTTAGTTCATCTCGAAAGCCTTATCAAAACGTACTTTTCAAACAAACTTTTGTGCCCGATATTTGTAAAAATGCTGGTGTTGGAAAAAAAAATACACACCCCACTGCATCCTTGCCATCACTATCCAGCATCTGAACAACTCAGGGTGGGAAGCACGTCATATTATATTTTCATCAGGCCACAGAAATGAATCATCTTTAAGATCTTACAGCAGGACCGTATGTACTTCACAAAAAAGGGCCCTTTGCACGAAATTGTCGTCACGTAAATCACAAACCTTGGCAGCAACAACGTGCGATGTCAAAAATTGCATTAGTGCCTCGCCCACCGGTCTAAAATGAACTACTTTCTGTTGAAACCTCCACCACCGCATCTGCAGCCTCACTATCATATCAGCTGTCAAATAATTCAGTCACACAAACGCCTGGTTTCTTCGCAAATTCCACATTTAACAATTGTAACTTTCATTGCAAATGTGCAGATAACAGCGTATAGAAATATAGTTCTCTATTTGAGATTTATTCTCATTTGAAATGTTTAATAAGTGGAAGTCCAGATATTCTATATTTCAATTTTGACCTGTCTGTTTGGTTTATGGTCTAATCAAATCTTCTTATTTAGACTTACATACAAAATAAAATGTTATTTAGACACAGATAGACTATACATGTTATTTTCATGGTACTCAGTTTATGAGAAAATAAAGTTTTACATGAAACATATAATTGTTAAACGTATACTTCTTTTGTCATTACACTGTATTGACAGTGAGGCTGTGTCCGAATTTTCATATTTCGTTAAAGTTTGAAACTTATTCGAATTAAAAATTAAATCCATTAAGTGTTTCGTATCGTAATCTGCAATTACAATTTCTCAGCGACACTATGTTTCTAAATTATCGTAATACAGACAATGATTATTATTTTAATAGCACATAGGCAGCATAAGATTTATTATCAATCAATTATCACCTTCAAGAATAAGTGTCACCTGATAAAAATCCCTTTTACGAGACCCATGTCTTCTGCCTGGGGTCATTAAATGTCCAGGTAAAGTTGCTTATTATGTAACATATGTATACACATAGCCACGTATACATAGCCACTTCGAGGTATAAAGGATAAATTTCAATAGAATATGCACAGCGGGACTGCATTTTGGCTTGGAGGGATCAAGGGTTTCGAGAGATCAAGAGTTCGAGAAATCAAGAGTAAATTTGCTTAGTTTTTCAAAATTCGGAACCGGAGACTCAGTTCGAGAGATCGAAGTTCGAGCCATCAAGAGTTACCTGTATTTAATACGTGTCGATATGTTAGAGCAATTGTGTCTTCAATGGGTACGGCTATTATACAGTGTACCTTCCCCGCATGAAGGTGTTGGCATTCGTGGTCTGATTCTTATGAAGAGTTTTACATGTAATCATAACATAAGAAAAGTACCTGAAATCTTTTTGTTATTACT